AAAAAAAAAAAAAAAAAAAAAAGCCAAACCAAAAAAACCCAAAAAACTAAATGGTATATAAGGAAAAAGATATGTCTAAAGAACTGTAGGATGCATAGATCATTTTTTAAACTGCTATCCACATTTTGCCTCTTTTCCAAGCCAGAAAAGATTTTTGTATTTTTTTAATAGAACTCTTAATAACATAAAGGAGCAGTTCTCTAGGGTTGCTTGCTCCCTCTGTGTACAGCACAGCATGTACCCATTTAATGTAGAAATAATGCTGTTGTCTTTATAATCCTCAGCCATGTTCCTAAGACTTTTCTGAAGCCAGCAGATTCTTCCTCTTTATCACATTCCCCAAAGAAAAGTGGAGTAGGTCACAGTTGCCTAGATGGCCCCAGAGAGGCGTTAACAGATTAAAAACCGTAAAGGTTAGCTGCAGACTTCAAGTCTTGAAGGTTTGCCTTTATGACCCTAAGCTGAAAGTGATATCAACACTTAGAATTTTCATTTTCCTTTATCTCCTTTAGAGAAATACAACATGCTAAATTTGCAGACGCATCGGTGGGAGTCTTTATATATTTAAAGTTATTTTAACATCCAAAAACTGCACACACCTCCCTCCCCAGATTAACATTTGTAGTGACGAATGACAAATTTATTTTTCTACAGAGTTTGTGTATATGTAAATCTGCTGAAGTGCATCAAGATGTGAAGTGCTTTTGGGGGCCACCCAGGCTGCCTTGAAATATAACCAGAAGAAAGCCCCACTCTTGGTGAAGGTAGCAGTCAGATTGCTTTCCAGAGAATTGGAAAGACCTAAACAACAAGCACAGGGGGCTATTCCTTCCTATGCCACATGCTAATCATCATTTTAAATACCTGTCCACAAGTGAGCTGTAATAACACACTCTGACTCACTTAATGTCAATTGATCGATTAGCTAGACTGAGCATTGGCACATAGGTTACCATTTCTTAAAGTGGAATAAGTAAGATGAGAATCCTTCCTTCAGCTCCTGCTGGCAAACACAGAAATGTCCAGGTTTTCCAATCATGAGTTTTTAGAAATGGCTAAAAGGCAAATTTGTAGTCCTTTCACCTTCTTCGGTGTATTTAGTGACATGGTTCACATTTCCCTAAAGTTCAAGATTGTGGAAAACAGCTTCTTTGGGGCTCTTTTGTATAGAAAAATCTAGTCAACAAAGCACAACCCTCCTCATTAATTGCCTTAATCTTTCTACAGCTCAAAAACTTAAGGAGAAAGCTACCCCAAGGAATGCATTTTGCTACAATAAGGAAAATGCTAAAAGAGATTAGGGGAGAGAAAGTAAATTCAGACACATCTTTATTTTTCCCTTATTGCCTAACAATGAAGAATAAAGGCATAAACTAACCCTTTGCCTTACCTTCATGACTTAAAGAAAGCATGACCATCTTAGAATATTCATATAACTGCAAAGATAGCTCATTGTACAAATTTCACTTCAGAAATAGTCATGGTCAATTTGTTTTTGGAAATAAGGGAAAATAAATTAAAAAGCAATATAAGCAAGCATACCCTAGAGTTTTATTAATCATAATACTCTCCAGGGTAATGATTCTTAAAATTTCTAAAACTGCCAAAATTATATTTGTTTTTTTTTTCCCTCAGTTTATTGGTACATTCTGGGTATACAGTACAGTTACATTCATTATTGGGACCTTGTACCTCTACATGGTAGGTCTTAGTTCTCATATTTTCCCCTTGTCCCTGCCCTCCCTTCACCCTCTCCTCCCCTCCTCCTTTACAAATTTGTTTTTGTTTGGTTTCTTTGAGACAGGGTCTCTCTATGTAGTTGAGACACTCCTGGAACTCACCATGTAGCCCAGGCTGGTCTTGAACTCACAGCAATCCTCCTGCCTCAGCCTCCCAAGTGCTGGGATTACAGGTGTGTGCCACCACACCCGGCCCCCTTTACAAATTTGAAAAACAAAGAATGTTTGCTCACCTTTGCAAGTCTTTTCTGCAAGAATGATAATTTGCTATTCTCCAAAAGATGGCGTTATACACTGTGAAGGGCATGTCGATGGACATTTGACTTCTTTCTTTATACCTGTTATCGTAGTGACTTTATCACCCTAGGTCATCTACTCAGTAGCAGGTTATTATAGTGTGAAAGGTCTGCACACAATTAGTACAAATGGTTTAATCCTGTTGCTAATGAGGCCAAGGTCAAGGGTTTGAATCCGTTGAGTTTTCCAGTCCACAGCTGCTCCTAGCTCCATCAGATACCTTACATATGTGTCTTATTAGTCCCAAGGAGAGAAAACCAGTGGGGTTTGCCAGACACAAGAAAATCTACGATGTCTACTGGAGTATGCTCTTTAGTGTGGGCTTTCCTGCCAGGGAATCGGGAGCTCTTTTTCTTCCTTTCTTTATCGTGATGAATGCACATATAATGAAGAAAAATAACCTCCCTTGAATCCATGCTGAGACAAAAAGTTAGAACTCAAGAGTACTCCACAGGGAGTATTTGTTTTATGTGTCAGTATTTTACAGGGTGTTCCATGCTATAGCAGGACTGAATTCACTATCTGAGAGAATGGTTACTGGCCCAGAATATTTGATAAAGTACCTGGAGTTTTTAAAAAAAACGATCTGGAAGACTCGGTGTATGTCCATCAACAGCAGAACTGGCCAGGATAAGCTAAGCATGTTCCTTCAGTGAAATATGTATCAGGGTACCATTGGGTAAATTATATCTTCCCTTGCAGTAAATGTTAACCAGTGCCCTGTATCCAAAACCATTTTGTTCTTTACAACAAAGTATGTCCTCATTCATCAAAATCAGATCATTTAAGGCAAAGTATTAATAGAGAAAGTATTAGATGCTTCAATTCATACATCATCACTAAAAACAGCCCATATTTTTATGTAAAACCTTCATGAACTGGCTCCTTCCTTCATACTTTTTCACTTTGCCTAGTTTTTCTTAGATATTAGGAGAAATGTACTGTTAACATTCTATATTATCCTTTAATTTGCTAAGAGCATAGTACCTCTGGAGCCACAACATTTAAGAATAGGCACTCTTTAATCTTAAGATACTCCATTTGAAAATGTTTTTTCATTTCCTTGTATTTATCCCTGGCTAATAAGTCCTTATAAAATGGAATCAGCCACCACCAGCCCTGTTCATCTGTTTCCCTTTTAGATAGTTTGCTGACTGTAATCTGGGATATATACATGGTTTCTTTTTAAGCAAACTTGAATTTTCTTATGAATTGCATCTTTCTATCTTTCCGTGACCCTGTAGACAAACACTATGTTAAAATAGCATTCTTCACTGACACATTCAAATACACACACACACACACACACACACACAGCATGACAGTCTTCCTGCATGCCTAACATTGGCATGAATATTTCACTGCCTAATGGCAAATACTTCAAAGATGGGGTAAATGTATGTGCATGTGTATTTCTCTCCAAAATAAAGCTAGTTCAAGGCTTTGCAAAAAGTTGGATTCAGCATTTCAGTTTTCCTTTTTAGTTTGACAGTATTGGGCAGCTCTCATCTGAGTCCCTCACTGTCTTGAGAGGGAAAAAGTTATCTTTTGCTAGCAGCAGACTGCTGAAAATGAATAAATGCTACTGTGGTCTTCATTCTTCCCAATTTCTAATGCTTGAATTTTCCAAAGAGAGATAATCTGGCAGTGGCTTGTCCCTCCCCTGGAGTCTCTTGCCCTCAGCCACAGGGTATAATACCCTCCCTAGCATATTGGTTCTTCCTTGCCTGCTTCAAAGGCAGTATCTTTCTTAATAGCCTAATTGGAAATTTCTCTGGAAGAATCTTTCTCAGAAATTTAAGGCTGGTGACATGATTTCCCTCAAAAGTTAGGTCAAAGTGTACATCAAGCTCTTAACTACCTGAGACCCTCACATCCTAAGGTTGGTTTTGGGTTCGAAGAGACCTAGGTCAAGCTCACAAAAATGAACCCTAAGTGTCTTTCTTTCATCATCGGTAAGCCTCATGTGGCTGATGCCAAAGTCTTGTTCTCAGAAATACATGCTAAGCCTGAATGAATCTGCTATACAGCTTCTAAACTTAGGTTACATAGTAACTTTGCCACAAAATTAATAGAGGGTATGATCATCTAATTTGGTAGATAAAAATCAAAATTTTAAATGTAAAGGTGTGAAACCAGAAGCAGTACAGTAATTTAGAACCTCTGGTAACATATTTTGAGAACAGAAGTCATCAAAATATGGAAGTGTTATTAATATGCATGAAAAGCCAGTACCTTGTAACTTGATTGTAAGAGTAATATCAATACTTTTTTATGAAGTCTTTCTTTTGTATTCAAAGATAGCCGTGACTATTTGATAAAAATTTTTAATATGTAAGAAAAGAAAAAGCGTCTTTTTTTTTTTTACATCCCATTACATCAGTCTGTTTTGTATTTTTGCTTTGGCTGGGTAGTATGTGAACTTTTCTCTAAGAAGAGAGGTGGTGTGATTTAAATATAATTTCTGTATTACAAAATAATTATTATCACCTGTCAGTAAAGTGTGGGGAAAAGGTACCTATGCATTTGAAACTAGAAGCTTTCTTAGTAGCATGAATTCACTGCTTGAATATTGCACAGTGAGTCAGTCATTTATCATGGCGATATCCATTTGACTTATTACTTAATAATGTGCAAGTGGCACTATTGTAAGACTTGTGAAAACATCCAAACTGGCACCTGATTGCCTGTCATCTTTCTTGATTCTAATTTATTCTTTTCTGGAAGTAATTTAGTACTGTAGCAAAAAATGCTAATTAGTGATGAGGTAAGCTCACAAGTATAATATACATCCGCTGAGGAAGCTTGAAAAGAGGAAATGAAGACCAAGGTTAATGCTGGATGTGTGTTATAGGTATTCTACACAAGACTTTAAAATACCCAGCACAATTCTTTTCTTTTCACTGATTTTCTTTCCCCTTCCCCACCCCACTTTCCTGTTAGCCATTTTCTTCCTATTTCACACTATCAGTTATGCCATTTGAACCTCATTTACACTTTTAGTTGTTCACACCAGAAAAACTATTCAGTATTTACTCAAGTGTGTCCTATTTAAGATTACCTCACTGTTACTGCCATTTTAAAATTTTGATTAGAGGAAAAAAAATAGGAATCCCACCCCTCATACACATTTTTTTTTCCTTTCTTTTTATTTTAGCCTAGGATTTTCCTAGAATATTAACATAATTCCTTAAAATTATATTCCTTAAAGTAATATTTTCATATTATATCTTTGGACTGAGATGATTCTGCTAGGACACTAAATGCTTCTAATGAATCTTTTTACTTTTGAAAAAGGTTTCCTTCAAACAACTGCTGATGAGTTTTGCTCTTACTACGTAAGAAAAGATGGCGGGTTGTGCTTTCCAGATTTTCCAAGAAAACAAATGAGAGGGCCAGCATCTAACTCCTTGGACCAGATGGAAGAATATGACAAAGTGGAAGAGATCAGCAGGTCCATACCGCTAAATACCCTTTAATCTTAAAAAATGACAAATCTGTGGTTTTGACAGTGATTCATTTATCTGTGTTACCTTCAGGAGCTAAGTCCTCCAGGTGCTTTATTAATTTTCTTTTTGGTACTCTGCTTCTCTACAACCATCACTTAAATATTTTGAATACTCAGACTACTAACTCCATGTTATGAGCTTGGTTTCCCTGTGACTCATCTGAATTTTATGGGTATGGTTTTAAACTTGAATTTTATTATTGTTGTTAGCTTATGGTGCTGTGGAAATACTCTACACTACTGTTACTGGCATATCAGATAAGATGTGCTCCAGAAGAGAAGTCAACCTTTTTATATTGTTTTAGATCTTAGAACTTTCTGAGTGCCTTCTTGTCAGGTGTCATTATTGTGAGTAAAAGCTAGTTTTAATTACAGTTACTGAAAGATGAGATAATGAGCTTATGAAAATTTAAAACATATACATGTTTGGGCTCTCACTTTTACTTTCTGACAGAAGGCTGTTTTATTTTTTTCCATTGAAAAGAGTTTAAATGAATCACTGAAAAGACTCATTATGATGCTTTAGCAATACTTCTTGATTCTCAAAACCAATGACTCTAGGGGAAATACAGTTTGAAAAGGATGCTGAGGGCGTCCTTGTCCTACTTCATCTCAAGAAAAACTTACTGGTTTTCTTTAATTTGTTTAGAAAACACAAACACAACTGCTTCTGCGTCCAGGAGGTTGTGAGCGGGCTACGGCAGCCTGTTGGGGCCGTGCACTGTGGGGATGGCTCACACCGGCTCTTCATCCTAGAAAAGGAAGGCTACGTGAAGATACTCACCCCTGAAGGAGAAATATTCAAGGAGCCTTATTTGGACATTCACAAACTTGTTCAAAGTGGAATAAAGGTTGGCCTTTTAAATTTTATTTCCCTTTGCTCTGGCTACGTTGATTTTTAGTGTTATCTTCTACCACTAAAATATAAATATATTTATATTTCATTTTATAAATGTTATAACACTTAAATATGAAGATATCTCTTCATAATAAAGAATAATTAAGGAGAAAATATAGAAGCTGCAAAAGGGAAAGTTACTATGGCAATTTAATGAGGCAGTGACATTGACTTTTTCTGTTATTTGCTGACTAGAGGGCAGTGCAGTCAGACTGATACTTTGACATGCTTTCCCTATGTAATTTTCACATTTGAAATAACTTAGTTTTATAAAATGTTTGTCCAAATATTTCTTAACAGGCATAGTGGGATTGTATATCAGTAATTGCTGTTAGATACAAGGGCTCTGGACTATTTTGTCAATTGCAAATCATTCTTTCACCATATCTATTTTTGTGTCTGTCATAAAAACACACACACACTTCTTAGACTTTGACTTCCTTGTACAATGTTTTTACAGGTAAGTAAGATATTTTTATCCATAATATTGTCTGTGTAATATATAAGCATGCCTACTGCCTTCTTGAATTTGAATGCTCAGGTTAAATAATCTAGGCATGCAAACAAAACTATTGTCAAGTTTGTTTCACCCGAGTTACACAGTACAAATTAGTAAGAGGAGAGTATAAAGCAAATGTTGGTATTCTAAAATTAAGACATTTAACAGTTGATGCCTATTTTAGAAGGAAACAAAGTAATAGTACAGCTTGGCGAGATCAAGTTTTCCTTTTCATTTCTTAACGGAAAAACAACAATAAGACAGGCATTCTTCTACTTGTATGTAAAGGAACTTCTTACTCTCCTATTCTACTCAAAGGTAAGACCCCTCAAACTGAAAGACACAAGTGAGAAAAAAAAATTTAGTACCTATCGGTTTAAAAAGAATGAGACTGAGTATTCTCTTTCTTTTCACAAGTATTCCAGGTAGTCAGATCACCCAGCCTCGGGTGTGATGGTCCCAAGACATGCTCTGGAAGAGAAGCAAACCTTTTTGTGAAAAAGGATGCTGGCACCAAGACCCGCTCATTCGTTAAAGCCTCTTTAACTCAGGGGCTTCATTCTTTTCTCCCAGTATAGCTTTTCATTAAAATCTACAGCAGATAATCAAACTGCAGCGTTAGTGTTTTGCAGATCAATACATAATAAATACCCTCCAAAATAAATCCTCACATAACTCCTCTTACGGGGATTGATGAACAAAGAGAAAGCTACAGCAGCAAAGACGTTACTCATGCACAGGGCACTATTCCTTCCCATGAAAGGTAACCATACTCTCTGTAAAAAGAAAATGGGGAGAGCCAGGCATGGTGGCGCATGCCTGTAATCCCAGCACTCTGAAGGCTGAGGCAGGAGGATTGCTGTGAATTAGAGACCAATCTGGGCTACATAGTAAGTTCTAGGTCAGTCTCAACTACATAGTGAGACCCTGTCTCAACCCCTCCCAGAAAAGGGGAAAAATAGTATTGAACCACTTTACATGGTCCCGTTGGTTAAACAGAACCACTATTAACATTTTGATATACTTTGTCCTGCTTTTCACATCAAAATTAAATGAATTTTTTTCTTACTACACAGATAATACAACTCCACGTTAATAAATGTGGAAACAGACAAGAAACATTTTAAAGCTTTTTTTCCAATCAACTTTGAAATA